AACTATAAAAAAACTACCCACAATTGTTCTCTATTATCTAAATTATTGATTTATAATATTTCCTGACTTTGTCCCTATTAAAATGAAGAGCCATGAATTTTGTCCCTCAAAAAAAGATATAAGTGATCTGTGAAATTTTATATGCTAAATACTTTAGGGACCCATTATTATACACTATTACTATTATTTTGATTTCATAAGTTGGTTACTCTTTAAGGACTTCATCAGTTAAGGGCATATTGCTTGTTTCTCAACTGCTTTCAGTATTTTCATATTGTAAAATTCTAACTACTCCAATCAACGAAATGGCTTGTTGTCAAGGAGAATTATTCAAATTAATCTAATTAATATATCAAGGAAGAAGATTTATCGATCTTCCTAGATTCCCCTTAATACATATGCTCAAGTAGAATATGCTATTTCAAAAAGAAAAATTTGATCCCTATATTTCACCTACTATAAAACTCAACTTTGTTATAGAAACTTTGTTTCAAATTTTTATCTATTTGACAAAGTAAAGAATGGACTTATTTAATGATTAGGAGTAGGTAACTATAACTATAAAATCCAGTTATAATATCTTATGACTTTTATTATGATCAGATAAACTCTTTCTTGAAAAAACTAGTGATGTAAATAAAGAAGTGTTTTGTATCTATCTATATCAGACTCAATAACTTATAGTGAATCCTAGATTCTTATAAAACTGAGAAAATATATTTAAACATATAAGGTAATCAATGGAAGCTTATTTACATTCTTTTACTAATATAAGTTCTATTTGTCCAATCTTAGTGTGAGAAACTTTATATAACTCAAAATTCAAGGTCAAACTGAGGCAGATAAAATTTTTTAGAAAAAAATCAAGAACAAGCACTATAAGAATATAATAAAATAACAAGAAAATAGAAAAGTTATTTCTCATTATTAGATATACTTCTATAATATTTTTCTATAGTGTGAGATGATAACATATTAGTTCTTCTTCCTTTCAGAACTTTCTTGGCATTGGTAGAAAGATGTTACTTGATCTTTGTAGTTATTAGAGATCAAGTTTTTGTTTAAAGAGAATAGTAAGCAAGAGAAGAAGAAGTAGTTAATAACTTTTGAAGCTTCTTCAAGTTGATTTAAGGAAAGTAAAAGACTTTATTAGCTTAAAATTATAAAAACTTCTTGTGAATATTTTTTTTGTATATAGTCAGAGGATTCAGTAGAAAGAGTTGATTGATATTTTCATTAGTACTATAATAGATCTTAAAGAAGATACCATTTTGATATTTAAAAAGAATAAAATAATAAATATATATTTTAGAAATATTATTTTTTGAAAAATATTATTAAAATATAAATAATATAGAAAAAAATTTTTAAATAAATCTTTAATAGATTTACAATAATAATTTGTAAATAAAAATGAATCTTTAAAAAAAAATATAAAGACAAGGTCAAATATTTTTTACAAAGAAACTTTAAAATTTTAAATTAATAATTATAAAAAAAACTATTTAGAATAGTTTTTTAATGTTAAAATATTTTATTTATAACATTTTTTAAATTTTGTTTCTATTAAAATAAAGAGTTATAAATTTTGTTTTTTTAAAAAAAATATAAGTGATTTATAAAATTTTATACGTTAAATACTTTAAGAATTCATTATTATTTGTAAATAATAAATTTTCTAGTTAAAGAATAATCAAAGCTATAAAAGAACAAAATATTATTTTTAAGTTATATTTAAAAAAAGAAATTTCAATAATAAATGTTTTATTTCTATTAATTCATAGTAAAAACAAGCCATATCAGTTCAATAGTGAATTAATAAAATAAATAAATAAAAAAGTATATATAAAATTATTATAAAAAAATCTTTATAATTATTATATAATTATATTTATTTTTTAATTTATATCTTCTTAATATAATCAAGGAAAAATTTTTTTATTTAGTTTATAATTTAATTTAATTAACAAAAGATATATTATATTCTTGTACAATAATCCATTACTAAATTATAATCTCTTTATAAAACTTTTTGTAAAAAAATCACAATATAATATTAATATATCAAAGTTTTAATAGTTATAATATAAACTTTTAACTTTAAAAAATTAAAATATCTATTGATTTCAATAATATCATACTTAATATTTTTTTTTATTTGCTTTAGTAAAATTAAAACAAATTTTATTAATCTTTTAATTACAAAAAATATAAAAAAAAAATATAGATGTATCTTAAATTAATCTAATTTATAATTTGTTATATAATCAAAGATAAAAAATACTTTGATAGATTTATATCTATATTACTATTAATTAATAATTCTTTTAAACTATTTATTTTTATTGAATTTTAGTATTATATAATTCTATCAATAAATTGTTAGAAAAAAATTGTTAAAGTTATTAATATATAATAAGTACATTATTTTATTTTTATATTATGTAAAAAATTATATATATACTGTATATATAAAGAGAAAAAACTTACATAATCAAAATAAAAAAAAAAAGTGTATAATATAAAATATAGAGGATATATGCATATTATTAACTTTTAAATTTAGGAATAGAATATAATATATATATATATAAATAATATATATTATATATATAAAGTATACATACTGTATATTAAGAGTTTATTATAATATATAAAAAATAATTATTAATAAAAATAAAATGAAATATAATAATAAAATAATCTAAATAATACTGTATATATAAATATAAAAAATAATAAAACTTTTTATTTTATTATTAATTTTTTAATCATTTCTTTAAAAAAGTTTTTTTTTATATTTCTTCGTGAAAAATTTTGATTTCTTATAATCAAGATAAATTAAAAATACCTATCTCATCTATGACAAAAAAATTGGTTGAAAAAAATAATCTCAAATTTTATCATGTCTATAAAGAAACAATTTATATTGAAAATTCTATTACAAAAAGAATTAAAGTTTGATAATCAATTAATTTTTTATTGACTATTTCGATTGTTGTTAGAGTTTTTTTTAATTAATAATTAGTCGACTCGATATTAACCCGTTGCACTTATGCACGATTATCATTTTTCCTTCTTTGCATTGTAATCGTCGGCTGCTAATGCACAACATTTCATGACGTGTTAACTTCACGTGATTTGAACGAGTTACTTTATTAAAGTATAGTTTATAATATACCGTAATAAAATCAGAAAGTATAGTTTAAGACAGAAAAGAGGATGCATAAAATAGTGAATAAATACAAAAATCAAGTATTTAATATAAAGTTCAAGTGTTTTACAAATTTAGCATCAATCAATGTGCATTATATGCATTATAATGCTAGAGATTTTCGGGGTTTCACGCGACTGTTATACAAGGATCCTTTTGTTAAAGCAAGAAAAGGCATTGTGATTAAAGTTGCAATTATGAACATTGGTATCATTAATATTGTATTGCATAGAAATAGTGAAGGAAAATTTATCATCCTTTATTGAGAAGTATTGTTCAGAAAGGCATAGCAATAATAAAAGAAAAGGGAGGCATAATCGAAAGAGAATATTAAAAAGTGCCACATTTTATAAAATAATCTGTGGCTAAATATCGTAGGAAGAAAGAATCATGGGATTTTTGTCTGAAGATTCTTGCTGTATTATTAGTGATGTAGTTTCATGTCACCTAATCGTCATTAAAAAGAAAATGAACTTTCATATTCATCTTATATCTTTATATACACGAAGATAAATGTGCATCGTTTGCAAAATTCTCTTCCATTTTTACATGCAAACATCCAACCAGCACTATTATGTAAAGTGATTAATGTTTTATCGCTTTTCCTGTATACACGAGTAATTGAGAAAAAAACTTTAACCATCAAATATAAATTGTGGCACACATGGTTTCCAAATCTCCCAGAAAAAAAGTAAAAAAGGCTTTGAATCAACTTATATACAAAAAAAAAAAAAAAAAAGAATCACAAATGCAAACCCAAAGTGCATTAGGGTGATGATTGTGGAGGTGAATGAGTAGCACTACCGTTAGCACTTTGATCAGATTTTCGTCTCTCTCTTTGGCGTTGTTCCCGATCCCTCTCCTGTTGATCTCTTTCACGCTCCGAATGAGGTGATATAGGTGATTGCGCCTCGTCTCTTGGAGACGTTTTGATCCTCTTCGCAGTACCTTCATCTCGACGATCGTCAAGATCATCGCCTTTGGGTGAATAAGACCGCTTTTGTGCTGCCGAGGAGGTCGATGACCCATTATCACCAATGCCCACCGCATCTGAGGGTGTCGTTCCATCATAATCTTCATCCACCAGGCGTGCAGGTGGCCGTTCACTGACGGACGGCGGAGGACGGATGGATGGCAATAGCGGTTTACTTTCATTGTCGAGGGGACTGGTGGGTGAATTAGAATTATTGTTATCAGTAATTCGTGATATACTTGGCGATCTTGGTTCACTGGGACTTGACTCGTCCGGATATGATGTCTTGATAAGGTCTCGTGGCCCATCAGGTCGACTCGAATGTTGATCCGTGGAAGACTTTCTCGGGGTTTCACTGCCCGGAATGTTCGTAACAGGACTATGCTGATCATTACCATATGAATTGTTTTCTCGAGCAGGTGATTCTTGAATATGAGGTCTTTGAGATGACGGTTCGGAACTTTTGATTTCAGGAAGACGTCTTGGATGATCTTCCGAGTGAAAAGCGGAAAACGGTGGCATTCCCTTTTCATCAAGCGACCCCTCTTGCATCCTAGGATCGTTGTGATCGACTATTGGACGTGGATGGGTGATCGAGGGTCTCGAGTGATCAATCGGTCGTAGAGGTTCTTCCCTTTTCATCATTTGATCTAATGAATCTCGATATTCGCGACCACTGTGATGTGAAAGAGACTCGTGTGCCGAAGGGAGAGGATCAGAATTGTGATAAGAGGAGACACCATTTCCATTTCGATCTTCGGGCTTTCCTTTTCCGTGGTCGTACATATCGGATTCGCGACCATGGTCGACGGTGGGTGGATAGCTTGAATGTTGAGAGTTGCCATGCTCTGTCATTGGCATCCTTGGTGAAGGAAAGTTTGGTCTTGGTTGGTAGGTGTCGGATAGTTGAGGTGAATGTTTGGGGGCACGCCTGTCTTCCTGGATCTGTGGAAGCTGCGGAGAAGGAGAGGTACGCTTATCTGGATTATGACGTAAAGGTGGTGGTTGATGAGGAGTCAACGGTCTTGGGTCATGAGGAGACATTACGGGGTTAAGAATGTGCTGCTGGTTAGGTGGTGTTGGTGGATTGGTATCACGAAGGTGAGGTGGGTGACCATATGGATTTGAGGGTCCAGGGCTTCTTCTGGTCATGGGGGGTAAGTCACGATGACTTTCACCGCTATTATGAATGGATGATAGGGAAATGGGCGGATGGTTTTGCCTGTTGTCGACTGACCTTCCATAGTTGTTAGGCATACCAGGAGGACCCTGCGGGCCCGGGGATGGTTGGGCAAACGGAGGCATTGGAGGTGGACCAGTGTTTGACTGATAAGCTTGAGGATTAACATCCTGTGGAATTGGCGCAGAAGTTTGTCCCCCTTGCGCTTGTTGATTTCTTAACATCTGCAAGCGTTGCTTGATGTGTGGATTTGTGGGGTCCAACTCGGCGGCACGTTGATAAGCATCCAAGGCGTCGCTAATCTGATTGTTGCATGATTCGTAAAGTGTTCCGAGATCATACCACACCTCACTTATGTACGGATTTAAACGAATGGCACGGCTGTAAGCATCTAAAGCATCTCGGAACTAATTACAAATTTTTTATTACATTAATAAAATTATTATCGTGATCGTTTCGGAATAATGAACTCGAAAAATTTACATACCTGATTTATTTGATAATATAGAACGCCAATAGAACACCAAAATGTTGGATTGCGACCATCACGATAACTGAGTGCATGTATGAATATATATATGTATATACGTATATGCATTTTAATAAGAACGCCCGTGTGCGCAAAAAAACAATACATTCAACATTTTAAAACTTACACAGCCTGCTGATAAGCTTCGTAAGCTTTGTTATACTTTTGTTGAGCCATATAGCAACGCCCAAGGAGGTACCACGATTGTGCGTCATTACCATCTGGGCAAAGAAAAATGAGTAAATAAAAAAAGAAACAGTCGTATAAACATGATAATAATCTAATATATAACATTGCATATCACTTACCAGATTCCAATGATTTGGTTAAATAATTGATGGCCAGATCTTGATTATTGAAAGAAGCGCTCTGTTGGTGATAGAGCCAGCCTAGTTGTTGGAGGACTTTCGCATGATTAGGATTATCCGCTAGGACTCGTTCGTAAGCTTCTTTTGCAGATGCGAACTTGAAAAGGGACAGATTATTAGTTAGATGGCAGAGATTTAAGATTTAGACCAATGGTACATACATTCTTTTGCTGCTCGTATACATGACCGATCTGGAACCAGATGTCGACTTCCGTCAAAGGCCTCGGTGGATTTCGAAGAATGTATTTAAAACACTAAAAATACAAATTATCGAATTAATGAAAGTATAAATTTGTCGGTTTTCTTTTTTTTTTTTCCAAAAAAAAAACAAAACAAAACAAAACAAAAGGAGCGAATGGATACAAACACCAAGACTTTGATCATATTTCTGCTGTTGCTTATATATGATCCCTAATCTGAAATATATTTCATTTGCTTTCTCAAACTTTGGTTCCATTCCCATTACTTGAGAGAATGCTTCTTCCGCATGGTCCAAAGATCCGTAGCGATCGTACAAAATTCCAATTCCATACCAAAGTTTAGGTTCCTTGATAAAGGTAAAGGAGATGTTATAAGATAAACAGCATGATGTCAAGATCTTCGATGACATCTCGAAACGTTCATACCTTTGGATTAGGAAGGTGGTATAGAGCCTGTTGATATGCACTATACGCCTTTTGCAGATCATCCATCATTAAATAGCAGTGACCTGTTAACGAAGAATACAGATAGGCACAAAAGAAGTTTAATAAACTATGTATGCTAATATATGTTCCAAATAAGTGCATACGATTACAGATATGCAATGTGACGTATGACACGTGACAAACCTAAAATCATTCAAGGTACGACATCAAAATAGTTAATGGAAACATTACCTAAAGCACCCCAAATTTCGCCATTATTCTGATCAATATTTATTATTCTTTGGAAATATTCAACTGCCTAAAAATGGATAAAATGGAAAAGGGGGAATTAGAATCTTTGAGAGAGGTAATCAAAGAAAAAAGAGAAAGAAAAGGAGGGAAAAAAATTTGGAGAATAAATATGTATGAAACGCACCCTGGGAAATTGCTCTCTTCCACGGTAAAGAGCAGCAATACTTGATAATGCAGCAATGGAATATGAATTATGCCGCAAAGCTGCCTCATAAGCAGCCATGGCACGATCATAATCTTGCATCAGCTCGGCAACAGAGCCTAAATTAAGAAAGAAGATGAATAATTAATATGTTGGAAAACTTGATATAATAATGACACGTTCGTAAAGTAAAATTAAAATTGGAAGAGAAAACTAATAGCATATCAACGTGGAAACTCGAGTAAAAAAAAAGAAAAAGAAAAAGAAAAAAAAAAAAGAAATTTTCGACATAACGTTATTACAAAGGCACGTCATATATGCTCGTTTCTAAGCAGTAACAAGGTGAATGAAAATCTTAAAGAAAACTCAACGGTTTTTTCTCTACACTGCAACTGAGCATAAAAGGTCTATTCATGCGACAAGAGAGATGCGCTGAGGTGGCAATATAAAGCTAAAAATTTTGCAACTTCCAAGGACATCCGTCGGTGTCAACGAATCACTTACCCATCTGTAGCCACGTTTGCTCATTTATCTGACTGAGTTTTTGGAAGCAGGGTTGTTGAAGTTGCCCGTTAGACGACATATTCGACATGTTTACTCCACCTAAATGCCAGAGAATAATAAGATTAAGGCGGGAAAAAAAAATAAAAGGAAAAAAGAAATAAGAAAAGCCAAAAGCGAAAGCGTGACGCTTGTTAAAAGAGGATAGTCAAAGAATTAAAATAATAGGAGCTTGTTTTGTGTTAGGTGAGAGGGTGTAAAGGGGTTGAAAAAAAAAAAAAAAAAAAAAAAAAAAAAAGAGTTTATCAAAACAGATATTAATAAGACAAAAAAAGTTTGGCAACGATCAAGTGGCAGGACTCGGTGCGTAGTGTCACCGCCACCAAGTGCGTAAGATGTGTGGGCATAGATACGTTCCACAGATCCCAAGAGTGATCCAATATAGATCCAAATATTGATCCAAATGTGGTTTATATGTCAGATATATATTTTTATCATAGTATCATAGCTATTATACATAAATTTACAATACTCAACAGAGAAATTCTCCAGAAACTCCGCGCAAAACGAGCAAAAGCCGAGCTATTCCTCATCCGTAACATCCTCTAGGGTGCAATATTTTACACCACCGAGTTTATTGTGTTGATGTAAGTTCTACCGTATATGACAAATTACATGTAGAGATTATATGGACACCGAATTTACTTTTGGTGGTTGCATAAATAGCTTAACCGCTATAAAACTATAATGCTATGATGATTGACTTTCTGCGTCAAACACTATAAGCAAGAGAATAACACACTGTGGTCACATTTATCTCGTATGTACATACGTATGGTACATCGCTCGCCAATGGCGACAGCTGTTAAAGAGAAAAAGAAACAGCCTTCGCTCAGCAAAACAATACGTAATGATATTTTTACTCAAACTAGCAATACATTGTTCCGTTAGTAGAATGTATAATTTCTATTTGATAACGATGTATTCAATTTATCAAATGTATACGGTAGTA